CAAATATTCAAAATTATGCAAAGCTAAAAAGTGCATGGTCACTATTTTTTTTTTAGCGTCGTACACTGCGCTATAGTCGTGTTACAGATTATCCTGTTTCTACCAAGCACAGATGATATAACTAAACGTACAAAACAGCATACTTAAATCGCTGAGACTCGACTCGACTGTGATATGCAGGATAGCCGGTGACATTGCATTATGATGTAGAAGTACGTTTTCTATATTACAATTTCTTCAAACATGACAAATGTACTATTGATTGTGTTGTGTTACGAAACATACATACATACATAGATCTAAGCACAGTGCATATTTAAATACATACGCCAATGCCACCATTATTACTATGCCTCTATACGAACGATTCATTAAAAACTATTATTTCACAATGTAGATGTACAACTCAAGTTTAATTATATTTATCGATTGCCTTAGATTAGTGATTTTTCAGTCGCGTTGTATTTTGTCACTTAATATATGCATTGCTTAGGGTGTCCTCATTAACTCTTCATCGAAGTAATTTTTGAAACAGATACAATTTTTCAACATAAGCACCGAAACTGTAAAGGCAGCCATATTGATCACCAAGCTCGATAACGTAGCAATATGTATTCAGATGAGATGAAACACAGATAAATCTCCACACATATGTTTGCCTTGTGATAACAGTTCATTTTTGTGAAAAGAAATTGAAGTTAGAATAAACAAGTGAAAACCAATTAATTTATACACTTTCAAACATTCACCTCCAAACAGCTCCGCCAATGACATTGGACTCCTGTCATGAACTCCGTGCTGACTACTGATATTAAAAGGATCTACAGGTTCACAGTTGGTATTACTGTCGCTGGACGTTTAGAGCCATCGCACGTTGCTGCAGTTTATGTAAGTGTAGCATGGATAAGTTCATTTCTCGCAATGCTAGCTATACCACATCACAGTAAAACACAGTGGTCAGATATTTATTTATATCCACTTTTAGGTAAATGTAATTTAACATTCTTCAAATTGCATTTTTTTCATGTTTTTCTTTGTCATTGCAGGGATTTGTCTAACCCTGTCATCATGAATATAATCTTCGTTTGCTTTGCCGTTGTTATGGTGTGTACACTTGTCCGTGGCGATGATCTTATCGAGGTGAGAATCTCATTGCCATATTTGGCAATACTGTTATAGTGCTTGTAATTCGCATAAATTGTATGCTATGAATGTGTTTCTAGTTTACAACAAATTACCTAAATATCATGCTGTCCGTGTACCGAAAATAAGGATTTATCGTATTTTGTCTTTATCTTCGTTTTTGTAGGCAAATGAAGCTGGAGACGGTAAGTACATACATGATATCTGTACAAATGACAATTTTTATAAATTCGCCATTCCTGGATGTGAATTACTCGCTTGTTGCGGGATGTGAATCGCTCCAACGCTTCGCATTTAAAAAAAATACAGTCACAGAGTTAAACATATTACAATAGATAGCTTACCGCTGGACATATTTTCGAACCTGATGATGTAATTTCTTCACCAACCAATTAATTATTAGTGAGCATCCTAAGTGACGGAGGAAAGAAAAGCAAGCGTGCTTTATAACGTAAAAGTGGCGTGCATTATAGTAACCTATTACTAACGAAGTTACTATGCGAATTTATTTGTTACTACGATTAAGTTAGATCGTTGTCTTGCAGCTAAGTAACCGCAGACTAAGACAAAAGAGAACGGGGTGAAATAAGTTGCTAGCGCAAGTGTAAGATAAACGTTTGTGTCATTGTTTTTATTTTTTACGTAGAAGCATGTGATCCTACAACAAACGTCTGCTTTAAGTTCTTTCACGCATTAAGGGCGGAATGGAGTGAAGCTAAAGACGTATGTATCTCCGATGGAGGACAACTACTCATCATCGATTCATTTCCCCTTCACAAGAAGATCAGACAATATATTAACTCACATCCGAGTATTAGTAGTCCCAAGGGCGGGGGTTACTGGACTGGTGCAAATGATATAGAAAATGAGGGCGTATTTGAACTTAATGACTGTTCTCCATTAAACTATGATGATGGGTGGCATTCTGAGAAACGTGGACAGAGAATAATAACTCAACCTAGCAACACAGTTAAAAATGACATCAATGGACAGGACTGTGTCCAGCTATGGTAAGTTGTTCTAGTCATACCATAAATATGTCCTTTTTAAAAAGAAATTATTCAGCTCCAACAACAACAAAAACAGCAACAGTTATTTCGATTGAAATGTACATGGTTCTCCATGTGTTCAGTCATGCAAAATGAGTGTCATTTAATGAAAATAATATATTTTTTCTGTGTTCAAGGGAACGCCCACCGAAACCGAAAAACGCAGTATGGAAATTCGACGATGACTACTGCTGGAAGCGTAAATCTTTCATTTGCGAATATGCCGGTGAGTTTTTATTATAACTATTTTATCAATGTAGGCTAGCCATAATTAGAAATATTTCTATGAATTTGTTTTTTTATAATAACAATAGTATCTTTATTAACTGATAGATGGCCATCTGCCCAAAACAGTAAATGCAAAATATTTAAATTATTCACAATATTTCGGCGGCTTCTCTCCGACGTTTTCTACGATATTGCAGGATGTGTGTTAACGTTGAGTGATGCTAACAGTGTACTTAAATGAAAACTGTTACGGTCACATTTCTAGACCTAATTAATACAATAATACCACCTTAAACAGTTAATAACTAAATGACTGCTCCCCCCCAAGATTGATATTTATATTATGCCTTATTTATCTGTGTGAATTAATGTGATTATTAATGCTACCATATATATTTCGGTGTTTGTTAGCCGTGCGTTGTTATTATTGCTTAATGTGTACTGACTTTAATTCATTTGGACGGAAGATAACTGTTGATAAATTGATCCAACGTTGGGGTTGGCGTTTTAAATTTTCTTGACAGGCATCTTCAGATAGATGGAACAAATGGTAAAACATCCACCCTATCGTTGACATGACAACGCCAAAAAAACTGAATTTTTGACCGTGGCTCTGCGCAGAATAACTCTTTGAGTAAAAAAGTCGGACTAAGCTTATTATGTCTTGCCTGGGTGTGTGCCTTAAATTTACTATTTTTTTTAAGTCGATGCCAGTGCTTCCCCTGGATCGACACTATGCATTACACAGAACAACAAAAATATTTTAACAATAAGTTCACCAAGCGTTTATGTTCAAGAAACATGTCCATAAAGTAACTACGTAATCTGCTTCTGCTATTCTTAACTTAAATTTGCGTCTTGAATTTGCCTCTGACGACTCGATTTTTAACAGACATTATATAATAAATGAGATGATTTCAATTTTATCTTCGTTCTTTTTTGTACCATCCCATTCTCTTCTACCCATAGAGTCTACATTTTCTACAATAAGCATTCGCTATATCCGAAACTGTAGCACGTATGCAGGATCCGAGAAGCCATAATATTACTATATGACATTCAAAAGTGTTGTGTTGGTAGATACAATTGGCACATGGGCAAATACTAGCGATTGTCTGAGATGTAGACCTCAAATTTAAAACAGAAATCATTTACTTAGGACGAATATATAGTTGATACCACGTGCTCACTAATGTCGAAGCACCAGGCATCTCTTTATGTATCTTTCCTTTACTGATTTGTCTGTGCTGTGTAGCGTGCTTGTTAGCTGTTTTGTTGTCTTATACTTTTGTTCTAAGATCAACAATAGGGTAGGTTACGTTTTTTCCATTCTTTCTACTTGTTTTATTCCTTACTGACTCAATACCAGTTACTGACACGGTCGGCGAATCAGTGTGCAAGTCAGTATCTCTAGTACATTTCCATTCTTCGTGCAATTAGAATGTGTTTTACTTGCTTTTAGCTCTAACCTGCGGAAGTGGATTTTATGAACACGAAGGAGAATGCAAACGTAAGTTATTTGTTTTTACAACATCGGTATAAAATATCACGTATAACATCCACTCTAGTAGAAATAGTTATAATAATAATTCCATATTTCTACTCTCAGCGTCAACATCGTATTTCGTAACGTTCGTGTTTACCGCCGTAAATGGTGAGACGTCTACCTACACTGATGTTTACCTCGACCCAGCATCGGACGAATATCGCACTCTATCTGGAGTGGTTAGTCACTGGGTACGTATGTGCGCTATCACCAGAAAACGATATTTACGTACCCTGTTTGTTTATAATGAAATACATATAAGAGTACAAACTTATAAAAGAGATTTTTAAATACAGTGATTAAAAGTGATTGATAATAATAACACTTGTTAGACATATAATGAATTACGAAAGTCAACTGTTTTCAGTCAATCTTTTATTTAACACAAAGGTTGATTAAAAAGCTAATATTTGATCGATCATCAAATAGTAATTACAATATAAATCATATTGACTATGAATGCTTGGTTTTATATTTATATTCATGTGTGAATTCAGAAATTCGGCTTGCGGCTCTCCATCTAGTCACTGTCTGAGCATGACTAATACACGCTATTTTTTGTGGACAGC